GGAGGCAGAGATCTAATTATGAGAGGAATAAAACAATCCTATAACCGGTGAAGAAAGTCTGGATTCATAGTGGAGACTGAAGGAGACCTGCACCTGCTCTCCTGACTGATAAAGGCAAGGACTGAAGGCTGCTGTGGCTTTAGAGCTGTGGGCAGAACGATCCTTTCACCGGGGACGCCTAAGACCATCGGAAAATACAGATACTTACATTATGATTCATAACAGTAGCAAAATTACCGTTATGAAGCAGCAACGAAAGTAATTTTATGGTTGGGGTCACCACAACATGAGGAACTGTAGTAAAGGGTCTCAGCGTTAGGAAGGTTGAGAAGCACTGCCCTAGAGTCGGGGAAACTGGCACTGTTAACAGAGCTAGAGATACTGAGGAAGAGAAAAGAGAATGTGAAGATACCACAGATGCTCTTCAAGTTGAGGAAATTGTGGCAGGTGAAGATAACCAAGTTGATTCAAAAGTTCTGCTTGATTCATGAATTGTATGGTGACCCCTTCCTGACTGACTCTCCTCTAAAACTAGGGTACCCAGTATCTGATGTCGTACTCAGTAGATCTGAGCTCAGACAGAAACCTATGCATGGCACTATGTGTGCCAGGACCATTCTTGCTACATAGCAAGCATTTAGCATACTTTTTTTTTTTTGATGTCCTAGCACAGAAACAGGTAAGACCCGTGGTGAAGCGGGGAAGTGAACAAGGTCAATGGCTAGCTGAACCTTAGGGGCTGGGGGTGTGGGTCAGCTGGTAGACTGCGTACCCCATATGCTTGAAACCCTGGCTGTATTTCCCAGCATCACATACGTCAGTTGTGGTAGTGGCTACCTTGTAATCCCAGTTCTCAGGAGGTAGAGGAAGAAGGATCAAAAGTTCAAGGTCATCTTCAGCTACAGGGCAAGTTCAAAGTCACCTGGACTACATGAGACCCCTATCTCTCCCTCCCTCCCTCTCTCTCTCTCTCTCTCTCTCTCTCTCTCTCTCTCTCTTCTTCCTTCCCTCCTCCCCTCTCTCTCTCACACACACACAGCTGAACCTTGGTGGCCAATACCCTAAAATTAGGGAATAAAGCAGAAGTATCAACCATACTAATGGAATACTACAAAAAACATCTGAACTAAAGTCATGAGGTTCAATTACCAGCACCCATATTGCAGCTTCTAACTTTCTGTCTCTAGTCTCAGAGTATCTAGTGCCATCTTCTGGTGGTACACAGCCATGGACATGCAGGCAAACCATATACATAAAAATAAAAAAATGAAAATTACAAACTAAGACACAATTAAAGAGTACATCTTTCTAAGAAGTCTTTTTAAGATGACACTCTGAGTGCATGTATGTAGATGACACTTACTCTGAGTGCATGTATATAGATGACACTTACTCTGAGTGCATGTATGTAGATGCACAGATGCTATAGCACAAACTGTGAAGGCCAGAGGACAACGTGCAGGTGTCAGGGACTGTAGGCCCCAACATAGAAACTATCTTTCCCTATCTGGACTGGTACGGAGGCGCGAGGAATAATCAGACACAGTTCACACAGTCATCACGGAAGGGCATCTCAGGCTTCCTCCATCCTGAAGATCTACCCGCGTTTATTCCACAAAACATCTTTTATCCCCCAGGTAAACCAAGGTGGAAGCTCATTAATATTCTCTTTCCGGGGGGGGGGACATAGAGCTAGGAAAACACCTGCAACTTAGTCACCAGCTTTAGCAAACACCTCTTCCCAGGCGATCTACATTTTTAGCAAAGGAGAAAGGAGCAACACATCCTGGCCTTTGTTAGGGCTGTCTCACTTGTTAGGTAGGGTTGCATCTGTTTAGTAGCCAGTGCGCCTGCCTATAAATTATTTTATATGAATTATATGGGTCCACATGCAGGAATTAATTTTCTTCTCTAGTGATGTATGGCCTGGAGATTGAACTCAGGTTGTCAGGCTTGGTTGTCAGCAAGCACCTTTATCCACAGAGCCATCTCAGAAATCCTCAGTACATCTAAAATTCTTCAAAACGTGACATTTCCGGTAAAACACCACTCCCTAACTTCAAGGTTCTCTTTAACTACCCAATCAGCACTAACAGAGCTCACATCTAATTTGAATGGTGCAGTGGTTTGAACAAGAATGGGTCCCATAGATCATAGATTCCAATGCTTAGTCATCACAGAGTAGAACTCTTGCAAAGGATTAGGAAGTATGGTTTTGCTGGAAATAGGTTGTGGTCGTTTGAATAGGTATGCCCCCCCAGACTCATGTGTCTGAATGCTTTGCCCACAGAAAGTGGCACCATTGGGTGTGGCCTTTTGGAGGAAGTATCATTGTGTGGGCAGGCTTTGTTCAGTGCGGTACACAGTCCACTTCCTGCAGATCCAGGTGTAGAACTCTCAGCTGCCTCTCCAGCGCCATGTCCGCCTGCACGCTCCCGTGCTTCCCACCATGACAGTAATGGACTTAAACTCTGAACTGTGAGCAGCCCCAATTAAATGTTTTCCTTTAAGAGTTGCTGTGGTCATGGTCTCTTCATAGCAATAGAAACCCAATAGAAACGTGTCAATTAAGGGTGGGTTTTGAGGTTTCAAAAGTGCATGACAGGTCCAGTCAGTGTCTTTCTCCTCTCTGTAGATCAGAATGTAGCTCCTAGCTACCTCTCCAGCATTATGTCTGCCTGCCTGCCAGCCAGCCACCATGCTCCCTACCATGATGATAGACTAACCCTCTGAAGCTGTAAGCAAGCCCCAACTAAATGCTTTCCTTTATGAGTTCCCTGGGTCATGGTGTCTCCTCACAACAGAACAGAGACTAAGTCATTAGTACAGATCACAGGAGATACATGCTTTCTTATGGATCAGGCTTCCAAGTGAAATAAAAAATGTTCTTTTTTTTCTCTCTCTCTCTCAACAGGGGTTTCTCTGTAGCTTTGGAGCCTGTCCTGGAACTAGCTCTTGGGGACCAGGTTGACCTTGAACTCGCCGAGATCCTCTGCTTCCCGAGTGCTAGAATTAAAGGTGTGCGCCACCACTGTCCGGCTGAAATATTCTACTTTTACCCTCAGCCAGGGCTGTATAGTTAGGCTCTGTAGAAAAGACGAAACCCAAACGGTGTGTTGGCTCAGCTGAGAAAGCAGCTGCATTGACACTAGGGGCCCTGGCCCCCTGGAAAGCTCCTGATGGATGCTGTGACACAAGGGCCCCTGGCCCCCCGGAAAGCTCCTGATGGGTGCTGTCCCAGTCTCATCTGTGGATGTCCCTCCTAACACACCGTAATTTTCTAAAACCCAGAGATGATACAGCGTTTCTTTTATTTGCTGGAGTTTCAATCAAGAACCACACTTCCTTCTGCCAACTGTTACCTCCTGAAAGTTTAACAAATAAGTGCTTGGATTGCCTTGAAGCCCAGACCACCCAGCCTCTTCAGCGGTCACACCAGTTACTCCATGCGCCTCACTGCTTAGTTGACAAGACTGCAAATGTGGCTACTTTGTAGATTATTCAATAACCACCCTAATGCATGTTACTGCTTGCTTATCAGTTTTAGTCTGGTAACTATACTTTTTAGTCCTTCTTTTGAATTTTTTTTTTTTTTGAGATAGGGTCTTACTATGTAACCTTGGTTGGCCTGAAACTCACTACACAGACAAGGATGGCCTCCAACTCAGAAATCTACCTGCCTCTAGTCCCCATGTGCTAGAATTAAAAATGTGTGCCACCACACCCAATCTTTGGTTTTGTTTTTTAAACGAGTGTTTGCCTGAAATATGAACACACATAGTGTCCCTGGAGGTCCTAAAATATAGCCCTGGCTGACCCAGAGCTCGAGAGATCTGCCTGCTTCTGCCTCCTGAGTGCTGGGATTAAAACCATGTGACCAATTACTATAGATCTGAGAACTTTAGACTGTGTCACTTCCAAACATGACATCTAGAATAGTTCTCAGTAACACATGTTCTTTTTAGGCAAAATGGCCATGGTGTCCTTGAATAGTCTTTGGTGATGTCTGCATATAATTTTTATCTGTGGTTGACAAGGTATGCTTAGAAAAATTTCTTAAGAATAGACATGAATTATTATAGACTCTCAAAAACATGGTTTTCTTCTAAGGCTGTCATAGGAGCTTGGATTCATTCTAATTCACATTACAGGCAAAGCCTTGCTTTGAAAGGAGAAATGCCGAGATGCCACAGCAATAGAGCAGTCCTCCCCGACTATCATCACATACTTGAAACACATTACTTTCTTTTAAAACCAAATTATTATTGAAGAGTTTAAATAAATGGTTTATTTTAAAACAGTCTTACTATACAGTTCAGGATAGCCTCAAACTCACTACAGGCCTAGATTAGTCCTGAACTCATGGAGATCCTTCTGTCTTATCTTCCCAAGTGCTGGGGTTAGAGGCATGAACCACACATCTTTTAAACCCAACAACTAATAAGTTTCAGGTTGTTTTGATTTTTATAGCCTCACTATGTAGCCCAGGCTGGCCTCAAACTTGTATAATTCTGCCTCAGTTTTCTATGTGCTAGGATTATAGATATGTTCCACAAAAATGGTTTTTAAAGGAAATAAATCTTGTTCCAAATTGGGAAGTCCTTTCTTCTTTGACCCAGTAACTGAGAAAAGGACTGGTCCTTTACTACCCGCTGTGAAACCTGCAGATCTCAACCACCTTCAGAGCCCCAGTGGAACGAACTAATGTCTTCTTATGCTTATTTCCTAACCTTCTCTCCCGTCCTTCTGAGTTCAGAGCAGGCCAGCAGTAGGCAGAGGGAAGCACAGGGGGAGGCTCTGACAGCAGTGACTGTTCCTAGGGAAATGAGGCACAGGGACCACGGTACTGAGTTTTATTAAGGATCTCATTAAGGTTAAACCTCTAGGAATGAGGGAGTCCTAGTCAGAGGGCACGAAAGCCCAGGAAGCCTCCTCAGATCTCATAGTGAACCACCGGCTCAGGTTCTTTGGTAGGATCACCGCCTTTTTCCAGGTACAGATTATTGTAAGGGTATTGCTTCGGCCCCTAAGGAAGAAGACAAAAACCAAAAACCACACAGGTCAGCAAGAACAACAGCCAGCCAGCTAATACCTGACTACATCCCACTCTAGTTAACGATCATGCAGAGCAAATGGGTATACAGTAGCCTCTGGTCAGATCCAGCTGAGTTAAAATGGCAGAAGCAACGCTCCTTGCCCCTGCTCAACCCACAGCAGAGAAAGAGCCTAAATGGTAAGAGAAGTGGTGCCTGCCCTGCAAGTGAGAGGTGGGGGGGGGGGGGGCGGGGGGCGGGGAGTCCGAGCCAATGCTTTCCAAATGAGACGACGCATCCATCCATCCTATTCTCTCTCGGGGTTGAGACAGACTCAATCTCCTTTAAGTCACTCAGCCTCTAATGGTTCCACCACTAAAGTGGCCTAGCAAATGAGGCGTGCAGGAGCTGCGGTGGGGGAAAGCGCAGAGGAGACACGGCTGGGACATGCTTTAGGAGCTGCTGGCTTTACCAACAAACAGCTGCCAGAGAACACAGCTCAAAGGGAGGAGAGAAGGGTGACGTGCTTACAGAACTGAAAAATAGAAGAGCCACACTGTTCCGCGCTCTCCTGAAGTGAAGTTAGTGCTCACCACAGCACCACATGCTCTCCAGCAAAGAGTCCCTGAGGCTCGGCAAGAAGGCTCGTGTCAGTGCGCACAGCCATCCAGCTACCTCCAGGACATTATTTCTGTGGAGGTAGCACCAGGCCGTTGACTGCACACACGGCAGCTTCCCTGCATTTGCCTCTCTCTCCAACATACCCTGGAGACTACTCCCAGGTTAATCTTCCTAAGAACGCGGCCCTCATCATGTCAGTCTTCCAGTCAAAACCCAAAAGCAGCTCCCTAGTACCAGAGGCGGCCCAGGACATCCCTGCACCCCACCCCCTAGACCCCATCCCCTGGCACAGTCTACATCCAGTACAGAGCAGAGGTTGCATAAATATTTGTTCAGTTAATGCACCACTGTCATCAGGTTCAAATCCTCAGCTATGCAATAAAAGCTGCCCAATGGAACTAGTCAATTCACCTCACAGTGTTTTTAGCATAGTGATCTTCAATTCTAAATGCATTTTATAATTACCTAGAGATTGTTGAAAATATTGATTCTAGAACACTATTGTGGAGCCAAAGAATTAGAGCTTCCAAGAACCAGGCCTGAGGAATACGAATGTATTGTAGTTCTCTAGGAAACTCACATAGCTGGTTATTTAGGAACTGTTTCTTTTTTTAATGGCTGGTTTAAATTTTTGAATATTTCAAATTACATTTGATTATTTAATATGTAGGTATGTGGGTACACTCTTGCCATGGCACTCACGCAGAAGTCAGAGCGCAACTCACAGGAGTTAATTCTCTCTTTTACTATGTGGGTCCCAGGGATTGAACTCAGGTCAGTAGGCTTGGAGCCTGGTGCCTTTACCCACTGTGCCATTTCATTGGCCCTATTTCTATATAACACCTAACTCACCATCCTTCCTCCTCCGACTGTTCTCGTTTATCCCTCATGGTTTCTCTGACTTCCCCACCACCCAAATCCTATTTTTGTTGTTGCTGTTGTGTTTTGTTTTTAGCCTCTAGTTTCTCACCCTACTCTGTGCATTTACTATAGGCATACATATACAAACCATGCCAGGCTCTCACATAGATGTTCAAATGATGCTCATCATGTCTTTTAGCTACAACTTCTTAAAGCTTCTTTTAAGCTGGAAAGTATATTCTCTATGTCCATTGAATTCTTTGAAACAGGACTGTCTATGCTTACCATTGACAACTATTTCTAGTAGCCTTCAGAAAGTGCCCTTCATGTGTCCACGACAGGATAAGGTTCCGGCTCTAGACTCTGCCTTGAAAGGCCGTTCACTAAAATATAAGGATAACTCCCATTGTCAAATGGAACTCTGAAGATTAGCTTCCACATTCTCATCCACTGTTTAGTGCTAACATCTGTCTTTCAATTAGACTGATCCACGGTGAGCAGGGGTAGAGCAGTGCTTTGCTGCTTCGAAGGGTTACTGCCCTTCATCTTCCTATTTTCTAAAACTTGAGGAAGCCAAACTCGGTATTGGCTCATTTCCTACTCCAGAGACTTCACACCCTCAGCAAAGGAGGAAGATCAGATAAGTTTTGGGGAATCCATAAAATACTCACCACAGGCTGGTAGGAAGGGAAAGTATCCCCAACCCAGAACATGAAAACCATGAAGGCCACGAAGCCGAAGAGATGTTTACACATGACATCCCAAGAAACAGGTGTAGGGGATGTGTCCACACGATTCCTGATATACATGTCTAGGTCCCAGTGGATCTGTGGCAGAAAGGCATTTAACCATTACAAACTACTTCCTGCAAGCAGGTGTGCTGGCTAGCCTTATGTCAACTTGATACAACCTAGAGTTATCTAAAAGATGGGAATCTCAAATGACCCTGGGCTGGTGGTCCTGGGTTCTATGAGAGAGCAGGCCAAGGAAGTCATGGGGAGCAAGTCAGTAAGCAGCACCCCTCCAAGGCCTCTGCATCAGCTCCTGCCTCTGGGATACTGTTTCGAGTTCCTGTCCTGGCTTACTTTGATGATGAACAGTGCTGAAGAAGTATAGGCCAAATGAACCTTTTCCTTCCCAGGTTGCTTTTTGGTTATGGTGTTGCATCACAGCATTAGAAACCCTAACTAAGACAGCAGGCAATCTAGAACGGCCAGAGCCCAACATAGGGCTTAACAGAACCGTTCCACTTCCTGGGAGCAATATTCTGAGAGCCAGGTCCAAGACACAGAGCCAGCAAAGATGAATGCTGGCTTCACCAAAGGTAGCTCAAGCATGGCATGCGCAATGTTCACAGTACACAGGACTCTGGGATTTTCTGTCCGTTCCATCCCATATGCCATACGTAGAACTTCGGGTCTCACGTCCCCGGACATTGCTTCCTTGAGCAGAAAAGTTTAGCAAAAAAAAGTACTACATGAACTAAAGAGAGTCCTGGCAAACTTAAGGACACGGAGAGAAAGCGAAATGGGCAATGGTTTTCTCACCGTTTCGCCCCAGTTCAACCGCAGGTCGGGGTGGTCCCATTCATACCATGGATCCCTCTCCTGCTGTGAGCGGTCAGGGAGCTTCGGGTAGTCGCCACGCCTAAGGGACAGACAGCAAGAACTTCTGGAAAGGGCTGTGAGAAGTCACTGACAATTCAGAGCCTTCATCTCAAAGATCAGAAACAAAGCGATGGCTATAACCACTTCACTTAAGGATAGAAGAACACACCCCAACTCAAGATCTCAAGTTCTAGTACTAATAAAAGAACAAAAAAAGGTTCAAGCTACAATTAGAGGTTATGTTAAATTCTGAAACGACATGGCCTTATCCTCTTTTACAGAGAAAAGCCACACAACTCTATAATTAGGATTAAAAGAGAATTTTAGCAATCAATTATTCCATTCCTTCATCAGACAGGCTCTAAATACAAAGCCATCCACATTTGTTGGAATAAAAACTAAAAAAGGGTATGCATTAGAAAAGCCTTTTTTTCTCCATGGTTACTGTGTTTCTTTTCTTTCTTTCTTTCTTTCTTTCTTTCTTTCTTTCTTTTCTTTCTTTTCTTTTTTTTTTTGACTGGGTTTCTCTGTAGCTTTGGAGCTGTCCTGGAACTAGTTCTTGTAGACCAGGCTGGCTTTGAACTCACAGAGACCCGTCTGCCTCTGTCTCCCGAGTGCTGGGATGAAAAGCGCGCACCACCACTGCCCAGCACTACTATGTTTCTGAATCACAAGTTGATATACAGTCTCATGCTTTAAACGCTCGTAGGAGGTCTTGTTTAGCTGGGTTCTACAAATGCATGTTCACAGACTACTAGTCAGGCTGTTCCTGTTCACAACACAGGAAAGAAAGAAAGAAAGAGAGAGAGAGAGAGAGAGAGAGAGAGAGAGAGAGAGAGAGAGAAAGAAAGAGAAAGAAAGAAAGAAGAAAATGGAGGAGAAGAAAGAAAGAAAGGAAGGAAGGTAGGTAACTGGACACATGTTAAAGAAACTGACAGGGAAGCAAGAACAAGAGGTGCTAAAAGGAGAAATTCTAACACAGGAAGTGAGAGTGATGTTTAACCAGTATACATAATTAACCACGCTACATGGACACAGGGGCTGAAGGGACTTACACCAACCGGAGAATGAAGGTTGACGTTTAATTTCCTTAACAGTTGATTCGATTTTCACATCTCTAACGTCAAAAAACGTCATTTTTGATGAGACATATATAAATACCGAGTACACCACCCAGGATAAGGTTCTCGTGACAGGAGTACAGCTTCAGCCTGATCACGTGCCAAGCTGACAGCACCTGAGCCCAGCAGATGCTCAATCTAAACGAAACCCAGTGCTCTGGATGGAGCCAAGGAAGAATTTTGCTATTCTGAAGTCCTCGAGGGAGGCATTAAAACCTCGGCTTTCCCATTTGAGGAAACAGCCCGAGCCAAGGAAAAAATTGAAGTCCTCTCGGCTGCAGCTGCTCACTCACCCACTCCCACCTTCCCCCACCAAGCAAAGCACCCACGCCCATGACTCTGACGGGGTCAAAAGCAGGTTCGAGAGAAAACGTCAGAGTCGCACCACCCAATCCAAAGGTCTTCACCCATCACTGTCCCTAAAGCGAGTAGACACCCCCCCCCCCCCCCCCCCCCCTGCCATCATCCGGGTACGGCTCGTAGTCTTCCACGCGCATATTATACTTCTTGGCGGCCGCGGCGCGTTCCTCTGGAGTCCTAGGATACCGCCCTGGCAGCATGTCCTTGGTCATATGGAAGGCTGGACGCAGAGGGATGCATGTCAGAGGGACACGGTGCTCTAGTCACCCAGAAGGTCGCATTGATTTCAGAGGTCGGAGCTCCGCACTCTGCCGGACCACCGCAACCCTCCATCACCTCTCCTGGACACACTAATTCACCTGCCCCCCGGCCGGTATACCACCGCCACCGTCCCAAGGATGCCCCCTCCCGGGACAGCAAACATCAGGCACCCCCTTCCCACACCGGCGTCACGCGCGTTCTTGCGGACCTCTCCATGACCCCAGTGGCACCATGCGGCGGGTTGCCCTTTGCAGCCACCGGACTCCCAGGGCTGCAGCCCCGGGCGCCGCCATCTTCACCTTCGCTGCCGTTCACCCTGCACATGCGCAAAGGCGAGTCACGGTGGCTGAGCGGGGCCAAACGCGACCGCTGAAACCGGCGCAGAGGTCTCCAGGGTCAAGCTGGGCGGGCTTTAAATACGTTGGTTCTACCTGGGCGGGGAGCGGACGGCAAGGAGAGAAATCAAAGCTATTTCTTATTTGGTATTTCAAGTCATGGTGTTTCGCCTTCAGGTGACTGATGTCCTTTCAGACATCCCACCGAACATCTCAGACAACTAACCAAAGTAAAATCAGCTACTCTTTCCTCAAATTGCTTGCCTCCCAACGCTCTCCCTACTGACGTTTCGCCTTCTGTCATCACAGGTCATCATCACACGTAGTCGTTTTTCAAATTTAGCTCTTAATTTTGTTTGAGCCTCCAAATCGGTTGACGTCTTTCCTTAGCTACTCGGAGTTAGTTTTAGTTTCAATTCATCTAAACGTCCCAATCGTATAAAACCAAGCCTCTTACCAGAGGCAGCTCTCCCGACACTGCCCAAACGCTCCCATTTGCCGGGAAAACCAGATTTCAAACCGAACACAATTAACAAAACTCTAACAGAATAGACTGGGAGACAAGTTTGCATATTACTGAGTTTTCGTTTTACTTATACAAGTAGGGTTTGAATATCTTACGCATTATGAGGACGCACATATTTCTATAGGATAAAATCACTGGACTAGAAGCGGTTCTTTTTTTTGAATATTTATTTATTTGTTTATTATGTATACAGTATTCTGTCTGCAGGCCAGAAGAGGGCACCAGGCCTCATTACAGATGGTTGTGAGCCACCATGTGGTTGCTGGGAATTGAACTCAGGACCTTTGGAAGAGCAGGCAATGCTCTTAACCACTGAGCCATCTCTCCAGCCCCCTAGAATTGGTTCTTAACTGTATACTAGAGCAACAAATACAGACAGTGTAGTATCCAATGTATAAATCTGAGAAGGATTAATGTAGTGTAGTTTGTCCTCTTGTAGAACTGCTAGACATCACCAGAATTAATTTGATAACGTCTGCATTTAACTCATACATAGCAAGCCCTGATGTCATGTGGTTCAAGAAACAAAACTGGTCTAAATTAATTATTTGTTTAGGATATCATTTATATACAATATAATTTATTCTTTTTTAAAAGAAAGTTAAGTGCATGGGTGTTTTGTTTCCATGTGTATTTGTGCACCACGTGCTGGAGGAGGTCAAAAAGGGCGTCAGATGCCCCTGGAACTGGAGTTAGTAGGATCCAGACTTACAGTGCATGGTTGACCCTCCTGTGGGTGCTGGGAATTCAACACTGGTCCTGCATCCTTGGTTATCTGGAAGAGCAGTCAGTACATTTAACCTCTGAGACATCTCTCCAGCCCCACAAAGTACTCTAATTTTTTTCTTTTTTTCCAGCAGATTATTTTTTATTACTTTATAAATAATACCAACCAAAATTTCCACTTCCTCCCACTTCACTCCCACTCCCCCAATCCCCTTCCCCCTCCAGTCCTAAGAGAAACAAAGTACTCTTCTAAAGAACATGACAAGAGCCCAGCGAAGGTGGTGCACGCCTTTAATTCCAGCACTTGGGAGGCAGAGGCAGGCGAATCTCTGTGAGTTGGAGGCCAGGATGGTCTACAAGAGCTAGTTCCAGGACAGGAACCAAAGCTACAGAGAAACATATCTCAAAAACAAAACAAAACAAAACAAAACGAAAACAAAAAACACAACAAGCCTCACCTGATGGTGTAAGACTTTGGTAATATTAACACTTGAGAAGTAAAGGCAGAACAGTCAAGAGTTCAAATTTAGCCTGAGCTACATAATGAATTGAAGGCAAATCTGGGCTACTCTGTCTCAAAAACAAAGGTGTATGATGACTTTTAATGCACATCACAAAGGTGTGTAACCATCTCTTCTGTCTAATTCTAAAACGTTTTGTCGCTCCCCCAGAAAAATCTCATACCTGTTAACTTATTTCCTCTACTTCCACACATTGGCAACCACTAACCTACTTTTTGTTTCTATGCTTCTGCCTAATCTGTATATTTATAGAAATGCAATCTTACAACATGTGGCCTTCTTTCACATAATGTGAGTCTTGTGTAAATATAAAACACTTTACACAATTAATGAACATTTGGGTTGTTTCCACTTTGGGGCTATTGTGAATAATGTTTCTGTAAGTATTCTTGTACCATTTTTTTTTCTGTGAGCTTACATAGTATATTTTCTTTTTTCTTGTTTTTATGAATTTGTTTTCCTCTTTGATCTTGTTCAGTGGATTTTTGGGGCAAGGTCTCACTCTGAAACAACCTGTCGTTGAACTCACTCTGAAGCCCTGAATGGCCTCCTGCCCTGGCCGACCAAGTGCTGGATTACAGGGATGAACCATCACACCAAGTTTGGAGTACATTTTCAATGCTCTCGGCAATGTCCTAAGATTAGATTTGCACACTCACAGGATGTCTTGTATGGCTCCTTTTCTGAAAAACTCCCAGCTGACTTTTCAAAGAAGTTGCATGATTTCCCATTCCCAGCCCATGGTAGCTGTGGCTCCCCAGTGTCTTTTTGTCCTCATCAACACTTACTACGGTCTTTTCTGTTGTAACCAGGCTTGTGGGTGTGGATAGCATCTTTCTTGCTCTGTTCCGGGAGTGGGAACTTCTAATAAGGGTTGAGATCTATCTTTTATAGTTCTGGATTCTGAGAAATCCAAGGCTGAGGGTCCACACCTGGTGATTGTCTCCTGATATGTCATTCACTGACAAAAGGCAGAAGGTGAAGGACCAGAGATCACATGCAAAAGTCTCAAGTTCTTTTATAATAAGGATAGCTCATTCATGAAGGCGGTTGTCTCGTGACCTGAACTCCCCCCACTAGGCTTTGCTTCTCAATACTTGGGGGTTAAATTTCCAATACATACTTTTTAGAGCAATACAAGCAAATGATAGCAGGGCGGTGGTGGCATGTGCCTTTCTCTTGTGGAGACAGTCTCATGTAGACCAGGCTTCCCTTGAACTTAATATATACCTGAGGATGATCTCGAATTTCTGATCCTCCTGCCTCTACCTCCAAAGCACTCTGGGGTCTTGGGCATGCACTACCATGTCTGGTTCATATGGTACTCGGCAAGAAACCCAGGACTTGGCATGTGCTAGCAAGTACTCTACTGACTGAAATATATCACCAGAGGCAGACAGATCTCTCCAGGCCAGGCCAGTCTGGTCTATAGAGAGAGTTCTAAGAAAGTCAGGGCTACAATAAACCCTGTCTCCAAACAAAACAACAAAACCACCACCAGCAACAGCAGCAAACGGGGGGGGGGAACAATAGGTTAATCTTCAATTTGATGGCATTTGGAATTAACTGTAAACAAATTTCTGGACATCTCTGGAGTTTTCCAGATTAAGGCAATTGAGGTGGGGCCTGTCCTAAAAGCACTGTTCCATGGGCTGGGTTGCAGACTAAATAAAAAGGAGAAAGGGAGCTGACTGACAGCTTTTATCACACTCTGCTTCTTGACAGTGGGTGCATTGTGACCAGCTCTCTCAAGCAGCTGCCGCCATTGACTTTTCTGCCATGATGGCCTGGCATCAAATTCTACAAACTCTAAGTGAAAAGAAAGCCTTAAATTGTTATTGATAGTTTTTTTTGTCTCAGCAACAGGTAAAATAACTAATACAGGAAGAAAGAATTATTGGAAACAGTAAAAAGAGCATATGCTATGCTAATGTGAACTGGTAGACTGTGTAAGAAGGGCCCAAGAATCCTCTTGCTCTACCTCCTCCAAAGTGCTTGAGAGTATTGGCATGTGCCATCACACCTGATGGGAATCCCCTTTCTGCTCTCCTCCAAGACTTGAATTTCATTTATATGTACCTTGTTCTGTTCTTTGCCCAGGGGAAAAAATAAGCAAACCATGTTTGCACAAATGATTCGTTTATTTCTTGAGCACAGAAATCCTTGTGTCTCTTCAGATAGTTCCTTCTGCAACAAACTGTCCTCCCCTGAGCATCTTTTCATGTGCGTTTCGGTAATGACAGCTCTTCTCTGGAGAAATGCTCATTCAAGGCTTTATTTTTAACTGGGGTTTCTTTTTCATTGTTGAGTCTTAAGAGTTCTTTATGGACTCAGATGTAGTTTTCTTATGAAATATATGATCTGTAACTATTTTTCCTATTTTGTAAACCCAGTCTTTCTTGAGATAGAATCTCAGTTAGACCAGGCGACTCTTGAACTTGGTATATACCTGAGGATGATCTTGAATTTCTGATTCTCCTGTCTCTACCTCCAAAGCACTGGGGTCTTAGGCATGCACCACCATGGCTGGCTCATCTAGTTCTCGACATCAAACCAAGGACTTGGTGCGTGCTAGCAAGTACTCTACCAACTGAGATATAGCATCGTTCCTGTCTTTTGGATGATGTCCTTTGGAACTCTGCTTTTATCATGAAAACTATCATGTTAAAGTCTATCAAAAACTTCTACTATGAATGTTGAGATGACCTTGTGCTAATTTTCTTCTATTAATATGTTACATTGATTAACATTCCAAATGTTAAATAAACCAAGCATTCCAAAAATAAGTTCCATTTAGTTATGGTGCCTAAACCTTTTGTATGGTACTACGTATGTTTTGCTGGGAACTTTTGTGTGTGTGTTCATATGGGTTATTGATCAGCTTTTCTTTAGCTGTCTTTATCTCATTTTGATATTTGAGTAATGCTGGTCTCGTAGAGTGAATTTGAAAGTCTTCCTCCTCTGTTTCTGGGGATTGTTGTTAATTTGCTTTTAAGTGTTTGGTAGGATTCATCAATGAATCCATATTGTTTTAGGCTTTTCAATACAGGATTTTAAATTTTTTTCCAAATGTAGTTTTGATATGGGTCCTGTTATATTTTTCTATTTATTTTTGAATCTGTTATTATAGTTTGTGCTTTTACAGGAATTCCTCAATTTCATCTAGATTCTCTATTTTTTAATTACACTTGTTTATAGTATTTTATATGTTCCTTTTTATATTTGTAAAATCTGTAT